TAATTTTGAACATCATTTATTAAGTGGTTTAGTTATACATTGATGAAAAGATCAATCACTCACAGATATCTACAGTTTGACAGATTATATTGCAGTATTCACAAAACAAGAATATGACATTCCATGTCTTTTATACAGAATCATATAATGGGAAATAAATACTTGTTGATAGATTATTATTACTACTGTTTCTTTTATTTTCCAAGAATCATGGTGTTTGTGGTTATGAAATAAATCTGAGTCTGTCACCTCTATATATATATATATGTGTGTGTCTTTGTATGTGGTTATGCCTCTGTGTGCACACATATGTGTGTATGTATATGTGTATGCCTGCCTGCCTGCCTGTCCATCTTTGTGTGTGTGTGTGTGTGTGTGTGTGTGTGTGTGTGTGTGTGTGTGTGTGTGTGTGTGTGTGTGTGTGTGTGTGTGTGTGTGTGTGTGTGTATGTGTGTATGTGTGTGTGTGTGTGTGTTGTATGTATGTGTGTGTGTGTGTGTGTGTGTGCGTGTGTGTGTGTGTGTGTGTGTGTGTGTGTGTGTGTGTGTGTGTGTGTGTGTGTGTGTGTGTGTGTGTGTGTGTGTGTGTGTGTGTGTGTGTGTGTGTGTGTGTGTGTGTGTTGTGTGTGTGTGTGTGTGTGTGTGTGTGTGTCTCCAATTAACGTCATGACACCACAGTGTATGGATGTGTATAGTGTCCTCTCGTGACCTTGGGACCTGCCCTTACTGTATCTGTGTTACCTTGACAATCAGGTCTTCACAGACCTGTCAGTTGTATACTGATCCTGTGCTTGACAATGCTCATATTACCATAAGCTTGAAAGTGATACAAAGAATTAACAGTAAAATTAAAGTGAAAAATCCTATGCACACTCACGGATGTGCTGTTGGTTTTAAAGGACAGGCACTCAGTTCAGCTCCTGCGAACCGCGCCCGCTGTTAGAATGGCCACAACCGAACACATGGGAACAGAAGGGTGATACGATATTCTCAATGAGGAGGAAATTGGTAGGCCCACTGAAAGAACGAGAAAAAAGAGGCAATTATCTACTTCAGTGGAGGTCACGCCCCGCGGACACCTGTGTGCGCACATCAGACCGCACACAAAATTTCACACGGATGCCGATAAATATCGATGGGTCTCTCAGACATTAAAAATGGAGCCTTACAATAAAACACGCGGATCAATGGTGATCAAAATTGGGCGAAATAATGCATATGTGAGATACAAGAACGAACAAATTGTTGGCCATAGTACAACGACAAGTGCAAATACTGGTTTTGGAAAAAAACAGGTTTTCGGGAAAGGAAAATGTACGAATGTCATTGTGTTCGATGTTCCAAAGGAAATCGAAACAAGAAATGACAACATACTACGAACGTGTCTCATGCAAGACGCACAAAAGTTAACGGAGTGATGACCCAGATTCATCATAACGTATGAAGAGGAAGTAGTCCTCAAGTCCATTAAAATGGCTGAGGGCATGGCACCCTTTAGATGTGCCACCAACAAATTCCTAACCCCATTTTGCTCTAATTGTTCAAAGCGTGGACATGAAACACGTGCATGTCCACGCGACACACCACGGTGCCGATCCTGCGCTCTTTCTCAGGGAAGTTCAGAGTGCACAGAAAAGATTTCCGAAGGTAGATCTGTTCCTTGAACTACAGACAAGTGCATAATGCTGATTCTCCACTGTGCGCATACAATCCAAAGGATAGGAAGATAAACAGTCTCTATCTTCTCTTTGTCCCTCTCTCTTTCTATCGCCCTCTCTCCTTATCTCTCTCTCCTCCTCCTCCCTTTCTTTCTCCTTTTCCTTTTTCTTCTCCTCCTCCTCCTCCTGCTCCTCTTCTTCCATGGTCTGTCTGTCTGTCTGTCTCTCTCTCTCTCTCTCTCTTTCTCTCTCTCTCGCTTTATACAGTATATATTCATTTATTAATTTTCTCTCTCTCTCTTTTATAACCTTTTAGTAATGCAATTGCAGTGCCGGTATATGAGATGGCATTTGACTGCTTCGTTCCATAATTTATTAGCTAAAATTTACACTTTTACAGTAAATTATCTAAAAGCCAAAAAAATATACAGGTAAATATATATGTAAATACATTAAGGTAGAAACTTGGTTTAAAAGTAATATGCAGCTAAAAGATACTTGGTAAAATTCCATTTACAAGAGTTTTAATACTTTGAATACTATGTACAAGTCCAGGAGCACAACTTAGAATGGCAGTGTTCCACATCCTAGTGTATTTAGGAATAAATTGTCTTTGGTAGTGCTATATCCTGAAGCGTGGCTCCTCCAGTGCTTCCGGCACTCTCTCCACGGTCCTGATGGAATGTGTCGTCCGACGAACTGGCTGCCAAAGCGGCTGCAAGTGTATCACTTGCTCCGTTTGGATTTTGAACATAACACTGAAGGTTGCTTAGAATCCTAGGATCTTCAACACTGATTATGCTGATGTCTCTAGATTGTACTCTATCGAGGAAATCGAGATACTTCTTAGCAGCCCCTACCCACGTCAGAGGAACATACTCAGAGCGGATCTGGGCTTTGTATAGAACTTCTCTTCCTTTTGCACCCAGAAGCCATGAAATCCGTCTCAAGGATGCAATTTTTCTTGATGTTTTCCTGGTGAAGTTATCAATGCCTTAAAATTTATTTTTTTATCGTATGAAACACTAAGTTGCTGTCACTGCCTCGTCCTAGGTATTGTAAGTAACTGACAGTGTTATATTGTCCGCAAAAAGTTTGCGCAACAGGAACCAGATGCAACAAATCGTTTCTGAATATGTTTCGCAAGAGAGGCCCCAACACTCCGTGGCACACCTGTCCTTATAGCATACTGTAACGATTTCCTTAGCTACCATAGCACTGCTCTGGCCATGGTCAAGGGCGCTACTACCGGCAGATGTTAGCGGATAGAGATCAGATTTTTATTATTTTTTATTTTTTTATTTATTTATTTTTTTTTTTTTGAACTGGCGGGAACACATCAGGTTGTGCTTATTAAGATGTTCTATCAGACGTGCAACCAATTATCTTTTCAAGAATCTTGACAACAGAGAGCAGTGCAACAGGTCGATAATCCTTGACTTCTGATTTATTCCTTCATATGAATTGGACCAATTTGGCTTATTTTCCATTTCGATGGCCATTTTCTTTGCTGTATAGTTATTGAACAGAAGAGCAACTGGATTTGAAAGCTCTTTAGAGCATCCCATAAGTATGGGATGATTTCATCTAGATATACTGCTTTCTTCTCACTGAGGTCTTTCAGGATTCTTTCTACTTCTGTCTCTGTTGTTTTCATTTTGGTAAGTTTCTCCCGTGTCATTATTGGCTGCATTGGGGCTGGTCTGTCGGGTTCGACCACGGTCTGGGCAAAGTGTTGTGCCAGTACCTCTACCTTTTACAGAGTAGTGAGTGCCATAGTGTCATCCTGTGGTTATAGGTGGGATAGTTACTTATCTAGTTTCACCTTGCTGTTCTTTGACTTGAGTCCACCATTGTTTGCTACCAACTTGACCAGTTTTTTGTTTATTTTTTATATATTTTTCTACTGCCATATAGCCCATTTCTGGGTGGCTACCATATGAGCCGCTCATATGTTATACTCAGTAGGGTTGCATTTGAAGTTTAGACATGCCTTGTACTTTTCACAAGATGCCATTTGGCATCTCGAGAGGTAAGAAACATGATTTGGCAGAGTAGGATATGCTGTGTGTTTCAGTATCAAAAACTGCTGGTTTGCAATATTTGATTGATGTTATTGACCACGTTGTACAGCTGTGTAGCTCTCCTGGGTGGTCTGCTTTACAGCTTGGATCAGTTCCTGCTGTCTTTGGTCAGCTAGACGATGTCTGCAACTTAGTACTGCGTGATATCGACCCTTGTGGTACTCATACACTTTATGTTTAGGACAGTCGTTTCCAGAGTGCCCTTGGCGGTGGCACACAGAGCATCTGGTGGCTGTCACTAAGTTTCCTTTGAGAGAATTACTGTGGAATGGTAATCTTTCCTTTAGCTTCTGGTAAGCTTGCTGGCCCCCCTCTTGATTTTCCATACTTACAAGATGACGGCGCAAGGGTTGATGCCTGTGCTCCTACCTTTGCTTGTGCTGACCTTGGTGGGGTTGGCTGTTTTCTAGGTTTTTGCTGGATTTTTTTGATGCGTGCCCACCATATATTGGTTTCATCACTTTCCTCTAGCTGTTTTTCTCACTCTTTATCTATTTTGCTGGAGCGTAAAGTGCAGGCGATTTAGCGCTGATGCAGCTCCTCGGTGCTTGTGTGGCCACCAAATTATCGATGACTTCCAGCACTTCTATTCACACTCCTTTCTGGTAGCCCGCTGACTGTGTTTAACTGGCTCTTCACTGTTGCCATTTCTCTACGAAGGTTCCTGACCAAGTCTGCAAGGACGTTCTTTGGCAGGTCCTTTAGATGTTCATTATTGGAGGTTTCAGGGATAGGTGGGGCCGTCTCGTCTCCATCGGCAAAAAAAAAAAAAAAAAAAAAAAAAAAAAAAAATCTATAATCCCCTGAAGTGGTCTCAGCTCAGCTTTCTTCTCACAGTTCTAATCCACTTCATCCTCAAGACAACTGCTATGGTGGTAATTCTGACAATGTCCCATTATGCACTTCCTGTCTATTCTCGGTCGTGCTTTCTTATACACGCTGAGCCAGGGCCCAGGGGCCGGATATTCAAATGCATTACGGCGCCGTATCTCCTTAGCTTACGGCTGAGTGCCCCTACGACCCATACACAGGGCAAGGGACCCGCGATATTGATACAAGTTAAGGCGCCGTAGACTAAGGCAGGAGGAGAGCAGCCCTAACGGGATACGGCGAACCATAAATGACATTTTTTCAGCCTTAAAGTAATAGATACAACATTACTATTTGTATTTTACTCAATTATTGTGTTATTAGGTGTATATGAACTAACCGTGGACTACTACTACTAAATAAGCCAACAAGAGTAATATTCCAATACA